TCCCTCTCGGTCCCGCCCTCGTGCCGCTGCCCATTCCCCCGTCTGGCCCCCCTCCTTCAGCAGCGTGTCCTCCACACACCGACGCAAATGCACGTCCCCGCCCACCGTCACGCGGAGAGGCCGCATCCCAAGCAGGCGTGCCAAAGCCCCGCCCTTTCCCGAGTCGCCGTCGCCGTCACCTTCCATGGCCAACCGCGAGCATCGCCAACACCCCCCCTCCCTGAGCTCCGACGAGATCCCTCCAGGCAGGCCCTGGTCCCCTCCACGGTCCTTTCCCTCCCACCACCGGCTCTCCCACGCCTCCGCCAGCGCCTGGTGCACCCTCCAGAGCCGCCTTGCATGTTCTGTTTGGATATGCTCGCAGACTACCCGGAGGCCCTCCTCCAGGAAACGCTGCCGGTCGCGGAGGGAAGACCGCGCCCGCTCCCTCTCCCAGGGGAGCACGGCCTCCTTGTCCAGGGTCGCCACAGTCGGCAACAGGCCCAGCACACACAGGCGGTAGTTGGGCTCCACGTCCCTGATCGGATTGCCCGTCAAGAGCAGGCAGGTCAAGTGCGGGAGGGCGGCCAGGGGGGCCACGTCCTCGAGCCGGGCGATCAGGTTGTTGGCGAGGGAGAGGGTCCTCAGGCCAGGAAACTGGGGCAGGCCCGCGCAGGAGGTCAAGTCGTTGTCGCTCAGGAAGAGCGAGGTGACGGCATGAGCCTGGCGCTCGGCTAAGACGGGCCGGCCCCGGGCGCGAGAGGTGGGCCGGACGACGGAGTCCTCAAGGACGCTTGGTTGGGAGGAGGGCGCACGGGGCATCTTCCTCTCTCCATCATGGAGAAAGGCCGAGGTGGGGTCGTACAGCCGGTCGATCACCGTGATGCCGCGACCCACGGCGCTGAGGCGCTGCCCGTTCAAGAGGAGATGCTGAGAGAGGCTGGACTCCAGGACCAGGGAAAGAGGTCGACGTGGGAGGCGGGCGCCAGCTGTGGCGTGGAGACCCTCCAACAACGCACCAGGACGTGGCGGTGCTTGAACCGCGCGCGAGGAGACGACGTGGTGCATCGATGCGCCTCCCTTGGGGTCGGTGGATTCTGGAAGCGCGGGCGGGACAGCGAGCTGTAGGCAGCCATCATTTTGTCCCACCCGACAGCGGATCCCGCCGCCCACCTCCCGCCCTGGCTCCACTCCTCCATGGCTGATGCTACGGCTGCCCTTGACATTATGCATGGACGCTTTAGATCTTACACCTCTTAATGGACAGGATTTTACGCTTTGTCTCCCCGGGGACCCGGTGCCCAACGAGGAGATCATTGAATCATTCGGCGCGTGTTTAAGGGCCGATGTTCTCAAGGAAGCACGTGTTTGTTGCCCAGGTGGATCCAACGAGTTGAACAGCTCTTCATCTGGGACTGTTGAGGCGGAGGCACGGCGCGGCGATGTTGAGGAAGGGGCTTGTGAGGTAACGGCAAAGTAGTCATTGGGGTCGTGTGGGTGACACAGTGCGCTGGTGCTGTGGGTAGAAAGAGGGAGCACGCCTTTTTTCCGCAAGTACAACTCGGCATAGGACGACGATGTGGTCGAGGACATGCTCCGAATCGTGCTATGCTCCAGGTCGTACTTGCGCTCACGGTATTCGCCTCGATAACATCCCTCTTCCTGTACTTCTTGATTTGGGCCCCTATTTAGTTTGTACAATGTAAGGAAGGGAAGGCTGAATCCAGCGCAAGAAAACTCGAGCAAGCAAACCAGGATCACAACAGACCTCCAACATCTTAATGCCGCGTCTTTGCTGTGCACCTTCCATGATCCGTCCCAAAAATTGTACGTGCCAACAACTCACAATGTGCGAAAACGAGACGGAGGCGAGCGTCGCTCGTTTCCTCTTGCCCCCGCCCACCCATCCCCCTATTCTGGTATCCTGGCCTCCTGTAGCCCCTTTTTCTCGCAGTTTTGAAACCCACAGACGCTTTATAACATCCACAGGACTACTGAATCGAGTCAAACATTTTTTTTCGTGGCTGGGTTGGTAGGATGGCTGTGGCTGCCGCGCCAAGTAAGAACAAAAAGCGGGCGACGCCTACAGTGAGTTTAGCCTCCCCTCCCTCGACCACCAGCCTAGTTCCTGCCAAGGACTCCAGCCCCTCCTTGATCCCTCGAATCGTCTCCGCCGATCTTCACCAAGTCACACCTTGCTTCAATCATGGCGGGGACGTGCTGGCTTGCGCAATGGGCTCGTCCATTCTGCTGCTTTCAACCCAGACGGGTGAACCTGTAGCCCGCTTTGACGATGCCCATCCCAGCGGGGTCACATGCCTTTCTTTTGGCCCTGATCAGCTATTGTTTAGCGGAGGAAAGGACGGTTGTCTAAAAGGGTGGGATTATTTGAAAGAAGAAGCTTGTTTGTTCGTCAGAACCTTCCCTGAGGCGGAAATCCTGGCCTTATGCGTCGCGCCCACAGACCCGTCCAACACCCTCTACATGGCTCTGGGGCAAAGGAAACCGCACCATCGTGAGCCACTACCCGGCGATCAGACATCATTGTCAAGAGGAGACCAATCCTGCGCACCAACCACTCCTGCAGCCTTCATGGAAAAGGTCTCGTACAAAATCATAGGGTATCAGGTAAAGGAGAAGCAGCGCAGCAAAATTCAGACCCTTAAAGCCGCCCCTTTCTTCCTACGAACGACAAGCACGGGTGACTTCCTCGTCACGGCCTGTTCGACGAGTCTGAACGTCTGGCACGTGCCCTCCAAAGAAGTCTATTCTCAAGTGCTCTTCGACGACCACTCTCCCCGGGAAGGTTCCCTCCAGGCTGTCGCACTGCACCCCTCGCGCCCCGAGATCGCCACCGGAGACGTGGAGGGGCGTGTCTTTCTCTGGCACACCCTTTTCAATCCCCTGGGCACCCGGCTTAAGCAGGCCAAGGCCCGTGCCTTGCAACGGGGTGGCCCGGGACTCTCGCACCGGAGAAATGCCTTGTTTCGGAGCGAGGTGAAACGCTGGCACGCCCACGGTGTCCGTTGCCTCGCCTACACGCCGGACGGGCACTACCTCCTCTCGGGAGGGGAGGAGGCCGTCCTCGTCGTCTGCCAAGTCTCCAAGGGCGGACACCCCATGACCTTCCTCCCGCGTTTGGGTGCCTGCCTGGGCGGGTTGACTCTCAGTCAAGACGGTTCCCTGTGCGCCCTCACCACACTCAGCAACGCCCTTCGAGTGCTGCACCCCATGGACCTGAAAACCCGGTGGGAATGGCGCGGGATGGCGCACCTCTCGGCGACCCTGGGAAGCACCGGAGGGTGGGGGGGAAGAAGAAAAGCGAAGGGGAATGCTTACCAAAACATGTCCAAAGCCGCGCGTTTGTGGGCTTTTGGAGGAAGGGGTAGACTCGTTAGCAATTGTCAGCCTGGAAAACTGCAATTTTTCGACGTGGAGTGCGGGGAGGTGGCGGGAGAGGTTGAGGTGGTTTCCAGCAACGTCGTGTCGAGAGGGAGCGAGGCGCAAGAGGAGGGAGGAAAGCTGGTTCCCCCGTGGGTGACCCAGGCTGCTCTCTCTTGCGACGGAGGGCGAATGGTGACGGTGGAAATGCGGGTGGGGGAGATGGGCATCAAACGAGAGAGCCTCAAATTCTGGGAGCGGGCGGGGCAAGGAGGGAGGGGCTCTCCCTACGTCCTGCGAGCGGTCGTGGACGAGCCGCACGGTGGTGGGGAATCGGGGCAGGTGCTATCCCTGGCCTACCACCCTCGTTTGGATGTGGCGGCCACCTGCGCGGCCTCGGGAGACTTCGCGCTCTGGGCGCGGGTCTTAGAAGCCGGGGAGGAAGGGAAGGAGGGACGGGGGCAAGTAGAGGCCGGGTCTGGGGCTCGTTACCGATGGATTTGTCAGGCGCACGTGGCGTTCGAGCGCGGAGCTTCCCGAAGCCTGGCTTTTTCCTCGGATGGAACGCTCCTGGCGGTGGCCTGCGGGGCCAAGGTGGCCTTGTGGGACCCCGAGGGGCTCCGGCTTCTGGGCATCCTCACCCTGGACCCCGCCCTCCTTCCCGCCCTGCCCAAGGGCCAGGAGCCGTCAGAGATCAAGGCCCTGGCGTTCCTTCCAGACGCTCCCCGCCTCGTCGTCGCCACAGCCAGAAGTCTGGTCGTCTGGGACCTGCTTCGTCTCCACATTGTCCAGTATTACGCGGCGGGGAGGGTCTTGCACCTGTGTGCCCCAGGCCCTGAGACGCCGAGGCTGCTGGCGGGGAACGGGGTCGGGGGGAAAGAGACTCTGGTTCATTTTGCGGCCGTGCTGGAAGGGAGGGACGACCCCAAATTCTCCACCTCTCCTTCCGTCCCGCCACCCCCACCGTCCCAGTCCCTTGTCGTGTTCAATGCTTACGAAGCCGCCCCCGTCTGCACCCATCCCCTTCCCCGGTACGCCGGCCCCGTGCTGGCCCTGGCATTTGTGGACCGGCAAGGCGAGGACACCCTAGGGCTCTGCTACATGACCCGGGATGGGGTCACCCTCCTCAGCCCCCCCCTCCCTCGATCCTTCGCTTCCCCCCACTACTATCCCGCACGGCCCGCCCGGGGTCTGGCCCCCGCCGCCGCGGCCGTGGCCCCTGAGGCCGGGGCGGAGGACCGGTTAGGGAAGCGGCAGCGGCTCGAAAAGGAGGCACGAAGACCAGCGCCAACGGTGCCTTTGGGGGATCCTGCGGCAAAAAATCACAACCCTCCCTCAATCTCGGACTTGCTCGGTGACATCCCCACAGGGCAATTGCCGAAGCCCTCGGCCATTTTTGGGGCGTTTATGAGCGGCCTCCTTCCCCCGTCCTCCTCGTCCTTTCCTCCGCCTTCTTCCTTTCCCACCTTGGTCCTTCCTGAAAATCCCGTCGAGCCCATGCCAGCGACGGACGTCTCTCCCGAGTCAAGGGGGGACGAGCGCACCTGGGAGCCCCACCAGCAGCTGCAGCACAGACCACCGCATGCCCCTCGAGTACCCGGGTTGGCTTTGCCCACGCCGGGGCTGAAGAAAGATTTGATCGCCTTGCTGCGACAGAGCTTTCGGTCGTATCCTCTGGAAAGCAGCGGGAGGGAAAGGGTGCAAGTCGGCGATGGCCGGACCCCCCCCTCGGAGGCTGCCAAGCTGACCTCCACCATTCCCGAAGGTTCCGCCTTACAGGAGGGCCGGGAAGAAGGAGTGCCTCTGGCAGAAGCTCCTAGCCTGGAAAAGGTGGAGCCGGAGGAAAAGAAGCAGAGGGCAGGCGTAGGAGGGAGACTAGGCAGGGGCTCGGCGGTCGCCTCCCCGTCACCAGGAAGGCGAGGGGCAGGGAAGGCTTCGGCCGCACTCAAAGGGGGGGGTGACGGGGTAGGTGGATCAGGGAACGAGGCAATGAATGGGCACGCCAAGCACACCAATCCTGCGGGCAAAAGCAACGCTAGGAAGGCTCCCGATATCTCCGCGAAGCGATCGAAGGAGAAGGCGAACAACAGCATCGCAGCCAGCAGCCAGCGGCGGAAGAGCACCGGCAGCGTCAAGGGCGGTAAGGACAAGAGCACGCCCCGGTCATCGAGGCGTGCGAGT